CCCCAAAACCCCAAAACCCCTCAATGCAATTGATTCCTATATTTTGAAGTCAGAAATAAATAAATAAAAATGTAAGAATCTAAGTCAAATCAAGATCAAAACCATACAACTACCTTCCCTGATATAAAGAACAAAAGTTCGACCATTTAGACATCTGAAGATTAAGCTATAGCCAAATAAGATGCAAAGTAAGATGCTAGCCTAAAAAAATAAAAATTAGAGGTGGAAATACTTTCTAATGACTAAAAGATCATAATGTAACAGACAGCAATGGATCCTAAGAATGAAGGACCACTTTCAGATCTGGAGGGAGAAGCCAATCTAAAGAAATCCCCTACTACTCTCCAAAGATTTATGAAGCGGAGAATCAAGAGTAAGAGACTGTAGAAGCCAAGTTTTATACTTGACTCTCTAGCCATTCCAAACGCCTAAAAGGAGGATACCATCTATGACTCATTAAGAGACCAGCATCTAATAAGGTTTTTTGAAAGAAAGCAAACCTTCAGAAATCTCATAAGGCAGGGTTTGATAGATAAAAATGGGACTATAATTGAGAAGGCAAGAAATAACTTGAGCAGCTTCGGGATTTATGCACACAACGATGAATATGCCCAAGCTTTGAAGAACAGAAAGTACACCTCCGTGGAAGTAAAAGAGCGATCTCAGCTAAAGAACGAGAATCAAACCACAAGCAAAAAGGAGAAGAAAGATAAAAAGGATAAGATCAAGCACTCAGATAGCATTAAGAAGACAGGGGGTGATCCATATGTAACCTAGAATTATAGCACACTTGATCTTAAAAAAGAGAAACTATTCTACCAAAAGAGCAAAGATGACAATCTGACTCCATAAAACTTTAATCATAAATAAGATAAATAGTCTATTAACAGTAATTTTCAGAGTGTTACTCCATCAGTAGTTGCACATCATCATGATAATAGATCACAGAAATCTCTTGAGATGTCATTGCCAAGACTCCCTCCAATTATGCTGAGGTAGAGTATAGCTAATGTCGCTTTTACCAATATGAATAAATCCTCGCATAAAAATCTTATAAAGCTCAGCAAACAAGTAAATAGTCATGAATATCTTTAATTCTTTTTAGTTTTTAAGGAAAGGTGAATCATCACAGCTAAGTCGTAAAGAAAAAGATTTTAAAGAAGGCAATATTAAGATCAGAAGCAAAAGAAAGGGCAACAAATCAGTTCTAAATACATACTCAACCAATCCACATGACAATGTTCAACCAATAAGTAAGGAAGAACTAGACGTGATCATAGAGAAATATAAAAATTAAGCTTAAAAGCACAGCTACAACACTTAGAGCATCAACACTCACAGAAGTAATGGGGCAGCTAATCAAAATGAAGAGCATGAGAACGTTAGCTCAAAGCAATTTGAGTTGCTTAACATTAATGATGATCATAATAAAGAGTAAGTCTACTTTATCTAAGCATAATTATAGATCAGCAAAACAGATAAAGCGAATGAAAACAGAGAAAAAGGACTTGAAAACTAACAAGCATCTTAAAAACTTCATTATAAATTGCTACCCCTATTTGCAGACAAATGCTAATGGAGAAAAATATTTTCAGGAATTAGCAAAAGTTAGCAAATCCAAAAAAGTATCTAAGAAGCAGCTCTGATTTAGCTAGAAGATATTTACTATATATAAGAAATAATCCTCAGTGATAACCCCTTTATTTCATAATGTTTTAAATTTTTCATTATATTTTCAAAAGTATTTATCTCTAATCCTCTTGAAGGGGTTTTGGGGTTTTGGGG